GCAAGAAGGGTAGTAGTAGCAGCCAGGATAAAATAAAAGTCTCAGCTGAGAAATAATCTCTTCCAGTAGAGTTTCTTTACCTCTTTCCTCCCAACTGTGCACATTGCTATTGCTCAGTCATTCCTTAATAGTATAGGTATATTTTCAAGTACAGCCAGTTACAATTGGTTGTACATGATTTTGTTTTTATTTTTAACTACATGGCAAACCTCCTGAAAGAAGGGATTATTCAGTCTGCACCCTCAGACACTTAGAGGAACTGGTACCCATATGTTGAATGAATGGTGGTATACTCAATTATCCATTATAAGGGCAAGGTGAACCCAGATGACATAAAAACAATAGAATGACAGTTGATACTTATGCCATTATATTTGGTTTAGGAGAGTTTTTTGGGGGAAAGAAATATATTTTTATAATTATGATTTATTAGGCTTATTTTAACTGAATGTGGGCAGTCTGATAGAGTGGAAGGAATACTGGGCTTAAAGCCAAAAGACTTGTGTTGTAATCTGGGTGTCCTCATTTCCTGGTTGAACGACCATGGGGAATATCTCCGACATCAGTTTGCTTTTCAGTTAAGATGGGGAAAGCAAGATCAAGGTCACAGAATGGTGGACCTGTCAAACCATTTGCAATGCGTTCAACTTCTTGCTTTGACAGAGGTGTCTCTGCTGCCTCCTGTTGTGTCAGAACCTGCATAAAGCTTAACTCAGCCTCCCATGATTTTACTGAAATTTCAGATCACAGAACACCTTGTAGAGAGAATGGGTGATAGGTTCGATTTAAAAGCAGTGCTCTAATGACAATTTTTGTATAGCAAATACAGATACATGTGTTATTCTGGAAAGTACTTTTGAACTATATGGTCTTCTGAGTTATTTCAAGTTAAAACTATATAGAGTTCAACACTGGAAATAATTGGAGATCAATTATGTAGGACCAGAGAGTATGGAATTGATGGCAGGTTAGAAGCCTAGCCTCCTTCACTTGGGTATGATTTATTGTGGCTGCTCTCTTAATTCCATGCTTTCCAATTGCCACTCCATAAACTATAAAAATGAAAACAATTATTTTTAAAGGAAGGATATTACTAAAAAAATAATAGTTAAGTAAAAATAATAAAACAAAATATCATGAAAGTCAAATAAATGGAATGAAAACAGACAAGATAAAAATAGTCTTATTTAAAAAAATAAGTAAAAGATAAATACAGGCCCACAATTTTAAAATTCACTAAAATGACAGTATAAGATGAACCTAAAAGATCGAAAGGATAAAAAGATTAAATGAGGTTTAAGAATGCAAACAAGAGATTTAGATATTTAAAATGTAAAATCACAGTGGGCTAAAGTAAGTCAGAACGATTGGAAACAGTATTAAATCCTCTTGCAGGAGCACAGCCTTTGTCATAAAGGGAGAGATGGAAAGCTTTGGTTTTACCCTGTTTCTTTTCTTTGCTGACATGTTACCCACTTTAAATACTCCTTCAGGGACCAGTAAGGAGAGTTTTGATCCTGGCCCCTGCTGCTCCTTTTACTGCCAGTAGAGGGCAGCCACATGGAGAGGTGATGACAGGCTAAACTGATGGGAGGGAAATGAGGTAGTGTCAGTTGGCTCAACTGAAATGCCCCTGAAGGGGGTTAGCTAAGAGAATCTGCCTAAGTGTTTCTTTCTTTAAGTTACTCCCAAATAATGCAGAAGCAAATACTCCTCTCACTCTATTTTGGCTTTCATTCTCTGTATTTCTTGCTCAGGGTTCAGTTACAGGAGTTTTTTTATTCCTATTACCTTAGCAATTGTAAACAGCCTTTTCCGGTAGTCCTCAAGCCCTTGGATTCATTTGGTTCTGTTTTTTGTTTGTTTGTTTGTTTGTCTGCATGCTTGTTTAATTCTTCTTCCTTTCTCATTTCCTAAAGCCTGTTTGTGATCTGGTCAATTCCACAAACACACACACAAACATGACCTGTAGTGCCTCTTGTAGATACATACCCTCCGCCATTCCTCTCTTTGTCCTACGCAAACACACACACACAGAGGCGCTTGTGCACTGCCCTTTGCCTGTACTCCTTTTCTCTCCCCTGGGAGGCTTCTCCCTGCCAGCCTTTCACATCCGTCGCTGCAGTACTCCTCATCTCCTCACCACAGATATAAATTGGAATTTTGTGAATTTATTCTTTTCCAGATAAAATTTTTTTAAAGCTTTCCCCCCTGTGATATATAAAAAATGAATAATTCCATTACAAATGTGATGAATAGAGTAACTTTTATGCATAGTATTGCAAGTTCAGTGTTTTAATGCATTTATTTTCCTGACAGCCATGGGCCATAGCTAAGTATGTTTCTTAGGTACTTAGAGATAATTCATGCAATTTAAAGGAGACCCTCTCTATGCTCAAATAGGTTTGAGGAATGCTCTAGTAAAGTGACTCCTTTAATGCAGAACTCCCCAAAGCATTTCATGTAATAATTTTCTCTGTGCCATGCAATTGATCTAAAATGTACATGGCCAGGAAACTATTTTTTTCATCAAAACATTACATCTCTAAGCTCAGTGTTCCATTGAAAATAATTTAGGAAATAATGTTCTAATGACAATAGTACATTTTCCTCTGTTCTGCAGAGAAACAGTTTTTACAATTGCCTGTATTGAAGAGTTCAAATTTACTTCAGTATATTTTCATCAAATTGATACTTTTTATTTTTAGTCCAAAAGTATAATAGAAATCTATTCTAACACTGATGTATGTGTCTGAAGAGTCTCCTGAAACCTCAAAGCAGAACAAATAATTTTCATTCTGTTTTATGTTAATTTTATGTTAATAGGGGTTTCTATAAAGGAGTTATTGGAAAATCAGTAATCTCTATAAAGGAAAATAGTCCTGTTTTGGTCAGGTGTTTCTTTAATTCAGATATCAGTGCTTAATGCTCATTACAGGTAAAGAAAATATGTATATATATATTTTTAAACATGCATGAATATATATATATANACTAATGAACATCCTCATACAAACTAGATGTTAATATATATATATATATATATATATATATATAAAATACATGCATAAAACAAAAACATTAGAAAAGAATGACAACATGAGAAAGAGAGAATTCAAGTGGATTCCACTGGGAATGGTCATTGCAGCTGCAGCCCTAGCACAGATGGCTGATGTAGCAGGGACACCAAGGCCCCCCTCTCAGCTTTCCTTTGGGAATCTCCCCTGTAATGATATGCCCTGTGAAGCCAGCCATTGTACCGAGGCCTGCACATGATTTTTTGACACAGTTTTCAGGGTTACAGGGGACAGGGTCTGAGTAACATTATGAATTCAGGAAAAATCATCCTCTTCCTAAGATTTAAGAGAGCCAATGTGAAACTGATCTTTATGCCAAAACCTGCTACAGAATAGCTTCTCTCCTGTTTGCAGGACCTCTTGAATTTGCCTTCTAAAACACAGAGGGAGCATTGACCACTGAGTAATTTCCTAGGAAATCCAGGATTGCAGTGGACCTCAGACCTCATCTGTGTGGAGTGGGGGCTTCTTTCTTTCTAAGTCACCACTGGTTTGAACCCTTTCCTTGGAACTTCGTACTCCTTGTGCTGACAGATCGTCTCCGCCATGGAGATTAGCCCCTCAACAGGAGTCAGAGGACCAGAGCAAATTTGATGAACATTTAAGGAATGATGAGCATCAAAGGAAACAACAGTGGAATGACCTCCCTACCGTAGGATCCTGGGGTTGGGAGTCCATTTACTCCGTCACCACCGCTCTGTACTTGGACCTCGGAGTGTGTTATCTCCAATGCCCGGCAGCAGGTCACCTCTTGGTTAACATTGTTAGAATGATCTTCCTTGTTTTGAGCAGGAAATGGGTTCCCAGGGGAAACCAGCAGCAGGGGAGTCAGCTTTGCCTCTATTTCAGGAAATTATTATGTTCTCCACTTCCTTGACTTGCTTTAATAATATTCTCCAGGTTCTGCTTTCACCCCTCTGTTTTCAATCTTTAAAACAACTTATCATCCTTGTATACCCTTGGAAATTGGTCTTAACTGGGTCTTCTGTGGCCTGCTCTTCTTGTGCTATTCACTTTACTAGTAGGCCACCCACTGCCTTGTGTCCAGATAGCCCTATTGATTCCTGGATCCTTATTTAGGTTGATAAATCTTCTGAACTCTGGATGCAAATTTCTTTCCATCTCTGGACATATGCACCTTCATGTTTCTAGGCTCCTACAGCTTGGCAGGGACAAAACTAAGTTTAAATTCTCTGAGAAAACATCTTTTATTTTCCCCTTATCCAGGCTCCTTCAGACCATGTTAGTAAGGAAGGAATGATGATAATCATCATAAAGTGGGAAATGTGGGTCAGGGACCTGGCAGTTAATTGTGAAAAATCTCATACACATACACTCACAACATGGATTCTTTTCCAAAATACTGGTTTTATACAAAATATATTAGTTCCTGGTGGGAATAACCATATATGCCTGCTGGCTGCTATGTGCTTGACTTTCAAAAGGCATCCTGTTGTGGGACTCTGCTTTTCAGGAGTCAAATGTGGTGTGAGTGTACAGCAGTTACCACTAATGCAGTCTGAACTTGTTGATTACATATCATGTTTTATTTAGCTCAGAGGCTCTAAAATCTTCTTGTAATCCCTCAAAATGCTACACTGAAATGGGCTTACCTTGAAGGCTAGGAATTAAAAAATGACAAGCCAGTGGCACAGTCTCATTTGAAACCTTTCCAGTTGTGATAGCCTTTGCCAAGAAGGCATTCTCGAAACAAAATGTCTTTTTTTTCTCTGAATGTTTGACTGGGGACTGAGTATCTTACAGAAACTTGATACTCTGTCAAGGCACCTTTAGAATTTGTCCAAGTGACCAGTTTCTTCCCCACGGAGAGCCTTACCCTGGCCGCAGGTATTTCTGGTTAGGAAAGCAGGGTGCAGAGGCAGGCCTCTCTTCTCCGCTCACTTTGCACTGTGCTCCTTTCAGAATAAGATCATCCTGGACCCCATGACGTTCAGTGAGGCCCGGTTCCGGCCATCCCTGGAGGAGCGGCTGGAGAGCATCATCAGCGGCGCGGCGCTCATGGCCGACTCGTCCTGCACGCGCGATGACCGGCGCGAGAGGATCGTGGCCGAGTGCAACGCCGTGCGGCAGGCGCTCCAGGATCTGCTCAGCGAGTACATGAATAATGTAAGTCTGGGGCCTTGCTGCCCGCGTCCGCGCGGCTTCTGGCGTGCACTCCTGCGGCTCTTAGGAAAGCATGCGTGGCGTGGAAAGAGGACAGGATGTCCCCACAGGGAGTCAGCCAGGCGCAACCCAAGAGCCGCTGTAGGAGGGTCTGTGTCCTCATTTGGTGTCAGAATGCATTTTTTTAGTGTGGAAGAGATTCCTTAGGAAAACTTTGGCTGTTGATTTGAGTGACTTCTGGGCCATTTTACTGGCTGGACTTTGTTTTGGGCAAGACTTAAGGTGGTAAAAGTAGCTGGTGGATGGACATAACAGAGGTTGTAGCTGAGCACCCTTTGAAAGCTAACACAGGTACAGATACTGGTCTTCATCCCTAAGAGGCATTAATAAGTATAATAGGTTTTCAAATGTTTGTACAGAGTTAAGATGGAATGTTCTAATGGCAGTAAAACTTGGGAGGGACTTTACCGATGCATTGTGCAACTAGAAATTTGTGTGAGAGTGAGACTGCACCTTTCAAATGGGTACTAGTGGCATCTAGAGGTGTTAGCACAGACAATAGCTGTCCTCTCTTACAGTTACCAAATGTGACAGTTGCTGTATACCTGAAAACTACACAAAGGAGATGAAATCCATATTCTTTGTTTTGAAGGGCACTCAATTATGGTTGTGTCCACCTGCTACATGCATTCAGCTGAGGTGGTGTAGCTGATTGATGCCCAGTGTTGGCAACCATGAATGGTCTGGAGTTCCTCTGGTCCTGGACTCCTAGGTGTGAGAGAATTCAACATAAAGTGAGAAAATGTAGGTCAAGTGAAGTGTTGGCATTACAGTTGAAGGAATGCCATATGTGGTGGTCAGGTAAGGAGGACCACACTGAAAATCTGCTCACAGCTTTTGAAGCCCACACTGGGTCCTGTTAGAACACCCCGAGACAAGGTGGAGACAGCAGCCAACCTCTGTCCCTGCCTCCAGTCCATTTCTCCTTACACTCCAGTCACTAAGTGACATGCAGCCCGCGGGTCAAGCCAGGAGTCAACACTGACAGGAACATTGCTGCTCCCGCCAGACCCTCTGGAGAACTTTGATCTAGAAAACAAAAAAGAGGTAGAATGCCCTGCAAACTCAACACCAACCTCTGTTTCCTTTCCATAAACCTTCATCTTCTTTGATTTTGGAAGACTTGCCTATTTTCGGCACACAAAGAAAAAGCTGTGGATGTCTCACTGGGTGCCCAGCTATGAGGACTTCTGTGTAGGAGAGTGGATGGCTGACACCTGGTGATTTGGGGTCTCCCAGGTATTAAGCAGGATCAAGCTAGAAATGTTGATTGCTGATGTCTCCCACCCTGAATGGATCTTTTCAATAGCAGAGTTAACAAAAAAAGTATGATTATAGAATCTGGGATTCTATTTGTCTGTTTGTTCTTTTTAAACACAATAGCAATAGCCAATTACTTGTATGTGAAATTTGGTTTCATATTAAGACATGCTGGTATTTCTGTCATTGAGCAATTTTTGCCAAAGAAGGAAGTAGAAATCATAGAGATTAGAGTGATGGTCAAGATTTCAATATAAATCAGAAAGAAAAGTATTTTTGTGTGAATAGACATCACAAAATATGATTAAAGAAGAGGTGATGGAGATGTGACATTGAAATTTTCAATTTGGTGTCTAGAATTCTGCCAAGTAGAAGTGTTTTTCCTTCAGTGTAAATGCTTATGGGTCAGCAGAGCTGATGGACTTTTGTATTTTATTGACTCTAGTTGCTGGCTTTTCTGTTCACAACCTTGTAATGCAGGAATGTTTTGTATTTTTATTGGAAACTAGGTTTTTACTTTCATATGGTTACAGATAATGCATAGGTAGGTATTGTGCTTAACTTTCAAAGTATAAATTCTCTTCACTTTGAGCTATCAGGATCAAAGGCTAAAATAAAACAGCCTCTATCGACTTTTCTATAAACTATACAAAATTTACTTGGACTTCACACTTGTTTAATGATTTCAAAGTTAATTGGTTACAGCTAGATCAGCTCCATAATCCCTGTCCAGTCAGTGATGCCTACTGCCACAATTCATGTTTATTTTGATATAGCATATGTTAATATAAAAACCACATGCACATCTATGCCAGGACGAGAAAGTCTGTCATAGTTAACAGGAACTAATAAATTAATCCAGTTGTGCTTAGACTGTCAGGTTTCTTCTAAAAAATGGTAAGCTTTGGAATAAAGGTATTATCAAAATATCACTGTGCAGATTTTTATCTTCATTTGCTAGGCAATATTATTAGGATAAATACATTATTTGATTGAGAAGAAAAGATTTAAAATTTGGCATAGCTGACACTTGTGGACTCTAAAATCTCTTCCCGTGGCCCTGATGAAAATTCAGTTTATAAGGCTCACTTATAGGCAGAGCTGTTCTACAATCCTGTCAGTGCCAAATGGCGTGGAACAGAGGGGAGAAAGAGACTGAGGAGAAGAGCTGTATACTAAATGATTAGGAAAACTAGTCTGCATGGGGCATGGATTACCCTGAGCTCAAGGGGATATCAGATGTGTGTTAGATATTTCCACAAAGATATATACCCGTTAATGAATGTGTGTATGTGATTTGAAGATATAACAAAAACTATACGCTTGAAGCAAACAGGTATGAGAAAAACAGGTAGGGTGAACAGATGCATGTGGCAACATTGTGATTACAGAGGGTTGCAGTGGCAGAAAAGGCTGGTGGGAATAGTTGTAGGAAAGCCCTGGGCCTTCTTAACTTTTTTTATCAAGTTTATACTATAACCCAAAGTAAGACAAGTCTTAAAAATAATCCCCCTTTAAATAGAACATCATTATTGCACATATGTGGAGAAACTAATGGATGGAGATTCTCTTCCGATGGCCTTTGGATTAGTGCCTTCAGGGTGCTGAGTACTATAAATAATTCCAAATTATAATGAAGACAAACTTTTTTCTGGAACTTGTAATTTTATACAAGTCCCCTCTCCTGCCCCCACAGTGGCAGTAAAACTCTTATTTCATTAAAACAAAGCAAAACAAAATAACGACTTAAAAGTGACCCCATGATCAGAAACAATTAAACATAGTATTTTATTGATAAGATTTTGATGGTTTCAAATTGAGAATATCATATTCATTCAACAATATGTATTGTGTGTCTGGCTACTTTGTGCTCTAGGCTTCTGGAGATATAGAAGGGAGCAAAATAGACAAAATTTTCTGCTGTCACGGAGCTCACACTCTAGTTGGGGAGACAGTGACAAAATAAATGCAAAGCTTAAATGAGAGTTATTTCAGATGGTGATAAGGGAAACAGGGCACTGTAAAGCTGGGGAATGGGGAGCATGGGGTGCAGCCATAAGAAGGATGGCCTGGAGTAGGCTTGTTGACATGTTGACCATCTGCAAAGAGCTTCTGGAGGTGAGGGAACAAAGAGACTTGAGGTGGAAAGAGCAGCAAGGTCAGGTGCCCGGGTGCCGAGAAAACTTCATGGGAAGCTCTGGGGCAGCTCTAGTGAGTGGGGAGAGGGGCTTGCAGGAGAGGGGTCTGCCAGGTAATGGGGCATCAGAATAGCAGGGCCCTGTGCTCCTTGTATGGGATTTAGCCTTTCCTTGAAGGGAACGGGAGGCCACTGGAGAGTTTTGGGCAGAAAATGCCATGACTTGGTGTTGAGAAGAGGCCATAGGAGTGTGTGGGGTGAACAAACAGGAGGATGGGTAAGGTGCCGCAGTAATTCATGAGAGGATGGTGGCTGGGGCCACATGGGAACAGTAAGAGCAGAGTGCTCAGATTCTGGCATGCATTACACTGAATATGCTTATCAAGGAGCCAGTGAGACGAATGTGTTTTATGAACATGAAATGGGCCCTGGGCAGTGTGAATGACAGCGGCAGTGTGTCAGCAGCCCTGATACCATCTCTTCAGTGGACCTCCTCATTTGGTGTTGTTTGCATAGAAAATTCTGATTTGCCCAAATGCAGTGGTGATTTGTAAATAGCTCACTTTGCAGTGCCTTGATACTGCCAGATAGTTTGCATTTGAACAGGGAGTTAACTGGAAAATAATTTGTTTCAAAGTTGTATCATCAAAAATATCCAAGGATGGTTCACATTTTTCATACAAAAGATTAGAAAAATACTTCTTCTAAGTACTAAAACTAAATGCTGAACAATGAGATGTGTTAAAGCATTTACACCTTTGTGAACAGTTCACTCTTTGGGGAGAATATGTGATGGGCAGATATGTCTGGCCTTGTTTTGGTGATGCTGTACAGCAGGCTCTATTTTATATCGATGGACACTCTGTGTTGCTCTACACTATTTTTTTAGGACAAATGCGTAACTATAATTTTCCTAGACAATCGTACAATTAAGTTTAACTGCAATGATGGCAGAGCATTGTGACATAAAGTAATGCTTTGCTGGTCTCTGCTATGTTGAAATATGGCATGTTATTTTTTAATTGTGTTTTTATAAATATTTAAAATGATGTATGTTTACAAAATGCTATAATCCAACTCTTTTCAGACCTCCTTAAGCACCTAAGTGGATCCCCGGGGATAATTTGTGAACCACTAATGTAACGTGTGTTAAAAGCACACGAGGATCAATTGATGTGGGAACATTTACGCATTGTACAAGTGCCTCCAGGGTCACTGCCAGATGCTTTGTAGTAGGGTGGCATTTAATGTAAAGGGGTTGCTGATGGATCCTATTTGTGAGTATTGAGATCAGAAATGAGGTTTATAAAGATCATTTTCAGTCTCGTTTTGGGCCCTGTACCATACCAACAGTCCAGTGTAAGGCACTGTGTGAATAACATGTGAAGTGATACCCTGGGCCAGAAAGCTCTGAAAACAGGGGGCTTTTAAACTCTTTTTTTTTTAATGGTGCAGAATAAATATATATTCATTATAAAGGATACAAAAAATTCATAATCCTCATCCCCTGAAGCTCATCATTCTTAATAATTTTGGGCATGTGAGTGACAAATTTATACACACGAACATACACGTCCATGTTATGCCTTGAGTTTTAAAAAAATAGACTCATTGTAAATGGTGTTTTGCAATGCATTTTCTTAATCTATTGTGACTATGTTACCATATCAATAAATATCCCCTAACCTTATGTTTACCAGCTGCATAGCATTTTGTTATATAAATATGTAGTCACTCATTTAGAAGCAGT